TTAACAAAGTTTAAAACAGGTAACAAACTCAACTTGACCGGCTTATGAGACAAGCATCGAAGGGAGCACCTTTTTTTTGGTTGCACGACGCGAAAAAGCGTACTTATCTGAAGGTTACTTACCAGATTTCAGTACTGTACTGTTCAAAAGAAAAAAGTTACATGCGAACTAATCTGAAGTCGCTGTGCATAGGTGGCACAGTTTACGATGAAATGCTTTTAGTACAAAAAGAAAATGGGCCACCTATTTCAAATTTAATCTATTCGTCAAAACGGAGACAAATGCCCGATAAAAAAGTAGGCATGCTGAGCTCCTGACACCGGAATTACAGAGAAATTTTTTAAAAACAGACAAAACCTGGTTAAAACTTAGGAAAAACACGGGCATGCACCGGATTAAATACGGAATTGAGAAAAAACAGATAAGACGATGAGTGAGCAGAACTCGGGTAACAAATAAAACTATAGAACTGAGTCCATTAATGTGTCATAAACATTCAAAAAGAATGAATGACAAAACTGGAGTTGGGCATTCGATGAAAAAAATTACCTACAGCCAATCACAAGATTTGTTACAAAACATTTTGGAAAAGAAACTACTGTTGGAAGAGAAACTATGCTGAAGGAGAAAAAGAAACTATTGTCGAGATAAAACACTTTATTTCCCAGAGTCCGAAAACTTAGCCATGAGGAGGCCATTCCTGTAAAGCAGATTTGCCAACACCACATTGTCTTCTGCATCGGCACACTTCAGATCTGACACGGAAATCCACTTAGGATATGCATTCAACAGATTCGCAAATCCAGCCTCAAACTGAAATCCGACTTCTCGGCTTCGAAATAACGCAATATTTACTAATATAAATGCATAACATATGGATGCTAATAAGTCAGCAAGAGAACATGCAAAAAAAAAGTCGAAACAGTTGGGCAGCCACTAAGGAGGCGAGGCACGGGGCAGGGACGAGAGAGGAGGGGAATATAAAACAAACAACGTAGAAGTGATAGCCCAGGTCAAAAACCCGAAATGGTTGTGTCGGGTGTATAAGTGAATTCGGAACTATTCCAGAGGCCTCGCTAATTTAACTAAATGAGCAACAGTGATGCGTAATCAAAAATGCTGTTACCTTGATATCGAGGTCAAATGTAACTTCAGATCTTTCCTCATAAATTCTAGAATTAGCCATGCGATGCACAATAAAGCAGCGTTCTTCCGATTCAAAAATGAGCCTGAAAATGAACTTGACTCGAACAAAACTTCAAAAACAAAGAGCAAAGAAAACTTCACTGAATCAATCACGCTGAAATGTACTGACTTCCTCCAAAAATATTTAATTATTTTGTGAAAGCACCTTTGACCATGTCTTCTCAAAAGTTTGATTGGCGTGTCCATCGTAAAAATATTCCTTTTGTTGGAGAAAAGAGATAATCCATCATCGCACAGCGCAGTCAACACTTTCTCATCTGAAATAACTCGCAACTTGTCACATAACACAGATAATATCAGCTGATACGGCTGTACTGATGAGCCCCAGCAGCGCTGCTGTGAGGGTACACATACTGAAACGCATTAATTACAGTTTGCATTATTTATACTACTGATACGCCCTATTTACCTTCTGCATCTGGCTTACTTGACAACTATTTTACAAGACTTTCCTGCACATAAGCATATAGATGTTTACTTTGAAATCCAGCCTGACATTTATTAATTACGTCAGCTGCCATGCGAAATACATTTGAAAGAGGAGAGAAAAATGACCCTCAGTGAGCATCGGAGGAAGTGCTGTTTTCATGAATTCGCGTACCATCATATCTACCGCCGGGTCAGTCAGCCCTTTCATATAATTGCAAAATGCCGAAAACTGATCACAAATCACACCGTGAAAACTGAAAAGCAGCTCCGTGCA